GTAGCTCGTCCAGCTTGTTGTGGAGGGAGCGGACATTGGAGAGCAGGAGGACGGTCCTGCTGGTCTGGAGGGGTTAGCCTTTAGCCTAGCATGGATCCTGCTGGTCTGGAGGGGTTAGCCTTTAGCCTAGCATGGATCACGGCTCTCTTCCTCCTCCTTGTCACTAAATTTAAAAACTCTAAATTTAAGTACAAAAATCCATTGAAGTGTGTCGTTAACTGCACAGCATCATCCTCTTCAACTTGCCAATTCAGCGCAGATATTATTGATGTTATTAGCTACACAAACTAAATTCAAAACTGCTCCATAACCACTCTATGTAGAAGTTATAATGGTTCCTAACAATTATTTTCTTTTGCTCATAACTTAATCTAGCAAAAAGCCAATTACAAAACTGCAGCTGAACTTCTGTTACACTAAACCTTCCACGATTGTAATCTGACTTTATTGCGCTCTTGGCAGACTGTGGCAGCATGTGACCAGCGCCATCATGGATCGGGACCAACTGCGGGCCACTCAGGAGAAGTTTGTTCTGGAGGAAGCTCAGCGCAGAGAAGCCAGGGAGAGAGGAGACAAACCCTGGATCCCACGACTCTTCCATCATGACTCCGTCTCCAGCGAGTGGACCTACAGGCACATGGAGTACGAACACACTCGAGCAAATAGAAACACAGCAGATGGCACACAACGTTTGTTTTTAGTTCAATGCAGCAAATGCTAAACTGTGGAGTACAATAATAAAGATGTGTGCTAATTTAAATAACGCTGCTTCCTTGTTGCAGCGCGCGGCCGTGGGACCCTGAGCATTGCCTCGTTCAGTTTGAGAAGGACGGCGTGATTCAGACGCACGAGAAGAGCCAGAGACAACACAACGGACTGTCCTACAGCCACAGCTGGGCCGGCCAACAGAAGGTTAAACCACAGCTGTTATTTTTATTCATGGGCGTTTAATTTAGGTTTTCTTTAGATGAAAGCGGAGCTACTTTCTGATGCTCCAGAATCACAGACGAGCACCGTTTTTTTTCCCTACTTGATATTCGCTGCACTTGCACCCAGAGAGCCGAGTCCCATCTTTATTCAGCTCTTACCGTATTGCATCAGTTTTCCTGCAGTGAAGTTAGTGAAACTCTTCTGCCTCCTCCTAGGCGGAGGTGAACGGGAAGCACAGGAAGGCCAGCAGTCAGCCCTCCAGCTGCAGCCAGAACACCGAGAGCAGCAGCACCACACCAGAACCCACACACGAGTCCTCGGACAATGAAGGTGAGGCGTATGCACACACACACAAAACAAACTCAATCTCAAATTGCAGATTGCATCTAAAACATTCTGTCTGGTACGCGCCAGGCTTTTCCAACCAGTGTGCACGGTGCAGTAAAGAGGTGAAGGACATCGCGCTGATAGAGGCCTCCATCACGTCCATACAGAAGACGCAGCAGGACATCCAGAGGTGACGTATTTATGTTTAGGCAGCATCAAGGCTGGAGACGGTCCTGTAAAGAAATGTTTAAAGGCCAAAACATGGTGATGGTGTTGAACATTTATTTCTATGTTGGTATAAATAAACATGTTGAAGCAGTAATGTTTATACGGAGGGTATAGAATAGTGATTTTAATGATGAATAGTGACAACATGTTGTGGTAAAGCACATGTAAAGACAGTTGAAATATAGTTTCTGTGGCCTGTTTTAGTTTTTTTTCTTTATTACTTTTGGCAGTGTTGGACGCGCAGCTAAATCACACAATATACATGTTTGGAGTTTTAATACATTTCTGCACGTTTATTGAACTCGTTCTCTGCAGGACTCAGTAGTTTCCAGTGTTCTTGATTTGTGACCCTTGAAAGTTTTATTATTGGCTTTAATTTGGACATGAACTGTGCGTAGTTAACTTTAATTAATTAAACTGACGAAAGTGTCCAGAAATTGGAACTAGTCAGAAAAAAATGAACTATTAAAATCCTCTTTTGTGATCTTGGGACAGCTGAAGATCTGTCAGGTTGGAACCACAGCTTCAGGCTACAGTCACACTCCAGTCCAGCCTTTTAACTTCATTTCATGAACGATCTCTGAACACTAACACGCCCAGAAAAGCATATCCCATAACTATTTGCATGCGCTGCAGGCACCAGTGTAAACACGAAGCAGGAGTTGGTCGGTTTGTTGTCGATGATACTCTGGAGGGAGAAGAGTAAAACATTTCATTAACTGCCAGCAGAGGCACTGAGGTCAGCAGCGCCTGCAGCCTCATTCTTTATCTGTAATTCACCACTTGTGTCTTATTTTTGTACCGGAGAACGGTCACGTGACAGGAGCGTGATGAATCAGGCAGTGACCGTAGTAACAGTTGGGTCACGTGAATGTTGGTATGTAGTAGTTTCCAAGAATCTCCATTTCTGCCCTTTCAGGCTAAATCCAAAGTCTGGAATTTTGAACTAAAACAGGATCAGCAGCGGTTTTAGTTTTGCTGAAACTCCCCGGTAGTGTGGACGCGAGGTGTTAACGTAGCAGAAGCTGGATGTAGCCTGAGGCCCCGTTTACACGTAGAAAAAACGGTGATATTTCAGTGGGCCTTTGGTTTACATGTAAAGTACGCTATAAGTCACCGGAAACGATCATATCTGGAAAGCCAAAGTGGAGATTTGGAAAAACTCCGTCTTTATGTTGTCATGTATGTAGACCGGAGGAGACGGAGTTTGACGTCACAGTGTGCGACAAAAGCGTCATCAGCATCACATGTGTGCGACCGTGTTCACAGTTTGGCTGCTTTGATAGAAACGGATGCTGTTAAAGGTTTTTACGTTTGTGCAAACGCTTGTTCTGTCCTCTACCACCACGTTTAGGAGCAGCTCCACTTCTCTGTCGGTCCAAACAAACGACCCTCGCACCATCATAGTGAAAATAACAGGAAGTAATTCGTGCCATTCGTTGATTGGCTAGCATGGCTTTATGCTTGTTGTTACACTGCCCCCTGTAGGTCTGGCAGATCATAACAGCTCTTAACGACGCGTTTATGCGAGTTTGTGTAAGCGAAGATTTTTTATTTTTTTTAAACGGCCTGGTGTGAGGGCTGCAAGGTGGTTCGGTGGTTAGCATCGTTGCCTCACAGCTAGAAGGTCGCCGGTTCATGTCCCGGTGAGGACACCCGGGATCTTTCTGCGTGGAGTCTCCATGTTCTCCCCATGCAGCATGGGTTCTCTCCGGGTTCTCCGGCTTCCTCCGACAGTCCCGAAACATGTTGAGGTCAATTGGTGATTCTAAATTGTCCGTAGGTGTGACCCTGAGTCAGCTGGGATAGACTCCAGCCCCCCATGACCGTAGTGAGGATTAAGCGGTGTATAGATGATTGATGGATGGATCTGGTGTGAACAATGTTATTTTTAAAAACATAGGTCTGTTTTTGTGAATACCCGGCTACATATAAACGTGGCCTCAGTTTCACGCTGACTCCCGTCTTTGCTTCTCCTCCAGGAACCTGGTGGCTCTGAGTCGTCAGCTGGCTCGTCAGAGGGCGACGGACGACAGCGTGTCACTAACCGGCCGCCACTGTCTCATCCTCTGCGTCCTGCTCCTCTCCCAGCTCCTCCTCAACTACGTGTTCACCTGAGCCAGCTCCTCTGGGAGGAGTTCCCCCTCTGGCACTGATCTGGCAACAGACGCCCTCCGAAAAGCACAGACTCCAATCAGCAGAGGGCAACAGAGACCTCAGATCAGTGTTAGGAGGGCAACTTTGTCCCTCTTTGTTTCCTCTCGGACGGGGAGGAGCACGGACATTATAGCAATAAACACAGCCACAGCCACCGCCTGTCAGTCATCTGCAGAGAGGAACGGCACCCCCTAGAGTAGCCAGACTGAAACAGCACCGGCACCCACGCACTTTGGACAGGAGAGGAGGGACGAGAGACGAGCACGGCTTCAAAGATTTTAAACGAAAGATGACATGTATGAAGAAGAATGATTTTGCAAAAAGAAATGACAGAGAGGATGTTTCACCATTCCTTAGTGTCTTTTTATATTGCCCTGCAATACTGTTTATCTGTGTGTGTGTGTGTGTGTGTGTGTGTGTGTGTGTGTGTGTGTGTGTGTTGTTCGTACCTACAGTAGGCCCTATGGGGCAGGCTGATCACCGCTTGGACTTCTCCTACTCCCCTTCCACTCCAGATTTTGGGCCTTAACGCTGAAGCCAAAAAAAAAAACAAAAAACAGAAGAAGAAGAAGAAAAACAAGAGGTATACAAACGAAGAAGGAAAATCTTCTAAACAGTGCAATTGTGTGTTTTGTACCGACATACGCTCAAATAACAACTCTGTCTCGTCTTTTAATGATGACGATTTTACCAAAACAGTATTTATAATCCGAGAGGACAAAGAGTACTTGTTTACAGGGAGCACTGCATGTGTCTGTAGTGACACATGGGAAGGAAGGATAATGGGACGGAGGCAGGGCAGAGAGCCAAACAGAGTGTCTTTGTATTTGTGTGCCTGTAGTGCCGTAACTGAAGGGATGGTAGAGTAGCACTGCTTTGGTCTAGACCACGACACTAGTGTGTACAATCAGTTACATGAAGAAGCGCGTTGAGGACGGGACGGAGGGGACGACTGGTGGGAAAACAAGAACAACATTTGGCCTCACGAAGGGGATCGTGTGCATCTTGGTCCGCACCGTGTTCAAGTGACTGTTTTAGATGTAGGCTAAACACTTAGTAACGAGTTGTTTTATTTCTTTTAATCAGTTTGTATATATTTGTCTGGCGGTCTGTTTCAAAAAGAGATTTCAGAATGTATTTATTATGTCGCTAACTTCCTAATCTGAATCAGCCTGGAGGCCAGAGACCAGGGGTGACAATCGCTCTCCCAGGGGTTGTGTGGGTCCGTCGTTCTGTCTGAGTGTGTGTGTGTGTGTGTGTGTGTGTCAGTCAGTGTAATGCAGCGTGTGTGTGTGTGTGTGTGTGTGTGTGTGTGAATAAGCCATTACAGTCATGCTTAAACAAAGCCAGGTCTGTGATCTTGGTTTTGTTTTGTTTTGTTTTTTTACTGGTTTTTAAGTCCTTGAATTTCAGTCTCGTTGCCAGAACTGATCGAACCGACGCGAGAGAATCGGAGAGCACAAGAAGGAAGTCGACTCTTTGAATGCTTTTATTTACACCTTAATTTGTTTATTCTTTTCATTATTATCCTGTTTTCTACTCTGTTGCCATGTTGTGGGGATTCTACATGCCAGATGTTTTTTTTGTCACACGGAACAAAAAAAAACTACCGAGGAATCGATGACGCCCGACGTTTTCATTCATACCTGTTGCATACTGTAGCACTACAGTAAAAGGTTTTAACCCTGACGCTGTCTCTGCCCTTCATTTATAGGTTAAGGTAGAAAACTGTGGTGAGAAATATTTACCTTTACAGGGATGCAAGGTGGAGCGGTGGTTTGCACCGTTGCCTCGCAGCTAGAAGGTCGCAGGTTCGCGTCCCGGTGAGGACACCTGGGATCTTTCTGCGTGGAGTCTCCATGTTCTCCTCGTGCAGCGTGGGTTCTCCTGCTTCCTCCCCCCCAGAAACATGCTGAGGTTAGTTGGTGATGGTAATTTGTCTGTAGGTGTGAATGTGAGTGTGCTTGGTTGTCTGTCTCTAAGTGTGGCCCTGTGATAGACTGGTTACCTGTCCAGGTGAACCTGCCTTCAGGTTCAGCTGGGATAGACTCCAGCCCCCCATGACCCCGGTGAGGATTAAGGTGTAGAGATGATGAATGGAGGGATTTTCCTTCACACATGACAGTCGTTCCTTCTGTTGTTCTCCACTAGAGGGCGGTACCGACACGAGTAAACTCACCCAGAGTTCAAGCATTCATCACATTTGGGAAGTGATTTCTCTTTATGTAACTGGGTTGCAGCAAAACATTACTTCCAAACAGAACAACAGGGGAACTTGAGGTGGCAGTTCTTCCCTACATGACATAAAGATCCTCACAGCGACCCTGAGACGTGTTCATGTGGCAGCAGTTCAGTACAAACTCCTGATGAGGCCAAAAGTGTTGAAATGCAGAGCTTCAGTTTGCCAAAATACCAAATGAAGAAGAAAATAAAAGCAGCATTCTTGCTTTATTTTATTTAAATGTCTCAGATAAAACCGTTGATGCCTAAAGAAGGACAGATGAGTGGATTGTGTCGGTATTTTAAGCAGCATTGATATCACAGACAGTGTTGTAATCAGAGGAGTGCTCACCACCCTGAACATGGATAAAAGAAAGAAAATCAGAGAGCTGAATGAGGAGACATGTGGGAGAAACTGACCGAATCCTACAAACACAACTGCAGAAGGAGGTTTAAGGTCCACTGGACTGAAGCTAGCCTCTCAGGATGTGGCTGCAATGAGGGAAGACTGGCCCCAGATTTAACAGAAAAACTGAAGAGTGAAGGAAGAACCCAAGAGAACTTCAACACAAACTGACTTTCAAGCTGAAGCTGCACCACATGTTGTGCTCTGGATTGAAGACTGAAGGACAAACACGATAAAGGACGACTGGAGGGTTTCTGAAGCTGACGAGCTGCAAGACATCCAGGAGATTTTCCTTTGCGCATTTAAAACAAAATAAGAGCTTCTTCTAAACCCTCCTGTTATCTTTGGGGACCCCATTCAATGTTTAACGTCTCTAAATAAGTCATAGACATTGTTTTTTCAGTTCTATTTAAAGGGATATTTACACATAAACAATTTTAATTATGATGTTTTCTGGAGGTTTAAATTGCTGGAACCCAACGATAAAAGATGTCTGATAATTTCAAGGTAATAGAAGGATTTAAAAAAAAAGACATAATATAATATTTTACACCATAAATCTAAAGCAAAGTGTTTGATCCATCAAATATGGAATAAAGAATCGTGATAATTTAACATTTCAGAGAAAAGTGCCGTTTGTTTTTTAAGTGTCAGGGTCACGATCAGTTTGCCTGTAAATCAGATCTGAGCTTTGCGGCCTACTGAGACGTTAACTCTGCTGAGCCTGAGGGCTGAACCTGAGCAGGTGGAAATCTCCTGCTAGACACCACACGGATCAACGTCTCCGCCACACACTCTGGTTTAAGCCCCAGTGAGGGGAACCGGATCGTGCTGCGATGCAGGAGGTCTGAGAGCGACCCAGTATTAACCTACACTGTCAGCTTTCCATCAGTTCTTCACATTTTCAGTCAAAGTAAGAGCAAAGATTTGGAGCCGTCGACCACAAAATGTTCTCAGAGTTACATAAAGTTTGCTTTCAGTTGCATAATTACAACCAGATTCAGTGAAATTGTTGGAAAATGACACAAAGCAGTTGACAGATAAGTCAGATTTCTTCTGGCTGAATTCAACATAAATCCAGTTTGTCAAGTTTATGGGAAACATAATTTATTCTGTGTAGTCGGGAAATCACCTGCAATTTGTTGGCAGAACTTCTTGTTTAAGGAAAAGCAAAAATATAATCAGAAACACATCATAAATTACAAGTAAAGTCGTCCTCAGATGTGTTCATAGCCTCCCATTAAAGAAGGAAAAAAAACAGCTGAAAGAAGTTGAAACTGACAAAAGTAATAATAAATACAAATGTAATGAAAATCATGACGTTGCTTTTGAATTGTGGTTCAACAGAAATATAATTTTAAAAAAACAAGCAAACAAGTAAGATAGGACCCGTAAACTGACATTTAGTTGAACAACTCTTTGAGCCAATCAATGACTTCTGTTGACAGGTATTTGGATTTTGCTCTAATTTGTCCAAGACTTTTTTTGTTTGTTTGTTTTTTTAAATTATTCTTTTCACCCACAATTCAAAAGCAACATCTTATTTCACTAAATTATAATTTAGCAAATTTTTATTTATTATTACTTTTTTCAATTTCTTGTTATTTGAGTGACTTTTGTGAATTTTGCTTTTTTTTTTAAAATAAACATTTGAGGACGACTGCATGCACAAAATCAACAAAATCACAACAAGCTGATTCCTTATTCTGCTCAGACCAGTAAAAGTGCAAACACATAATAAGTTAATGAGCAAAAACAGAGTCGACAGAGGCGATGACAGACGCATTAGCAGGAGTACAAACTAAAACACATGTACAGTTTACTGCACTGCTTTTATCACCACTACCTTAAACCCAGACAGACAGTAACATGTGAAATACGTGTCTTCTGTTTTTTACTCAAAACATCTGATGAGAGGCATTTCTCATGTCTGCTGCTGAAGGCCTCGACCTGTAGCTCCACTTCCCCTCAGCGTCTACGTGTGACTCGTTTCCATCCACTTCACAGATGAAGCCTTTGAAGAGTGAAGACGTGGACTCCTGCCAGATCAACGTCAATCCAGACACGAGTTAATCTGCACGAGTGAAGAATGTGTTTGCGGTTCAGCGCCCTGACGTAGCTGCTTTATGCTGCGGCTCAGCTTGATCTGAACTCCTCTTCTGTCACTTAAAACAACATTTAATTGTGAGTAAGTGGCAGCTGTAGGAAGGCTTATAATTACCCCGCAAATGATTTAATGTTGGTTTTATTAACGCCGCCTGCAGCGATGCCACGCTGAGCCACTGGTGGTGGATTAAAGTTACCAC